GCCAGATATAAGTGGTAATAAATCCAAGTGAATATAATGAGCAGTAGAAAATTTTGATAATAAGACTTACTTTTCTGCATGTTTTGTCTCCAGTTAAGCTCATAGCTTTTCTGCTTCTAAATTTATATCTGGTTCTTCAGAAAACAAAACAGATTACGGCTTCGCTTAGTGTATGCTGGGGTTTTGTTAAATTTGGTATTCCTGCAGCCACAGATGGAGTTGTGCCTTAGGAGCTACGGTGGAAGTTTGCTGTGAACAACAAATCTTGAAGCAGAAGAAGGCAGTGAGAAAGTGCCCAGATCATAGAAGGGAAAGGAGCAATAGTCTTGCATTTAATTTCAGAAACATCTGTGTCTCAGAATCAGACATTCACCTTCAGATTGACTTCCTTTTAATTTACACGTATGAAAGATAAGCGTTAAAACTAAGTTTTGGTCTGTAGCTTGGAAATGGGATTTCACCTAATATCAGACCTTTAAAATATATTTTTCTACCTCTGCTCCTTTCAGTAAAAGGCCATATAGGTGAATTCATTCATGATAGAAATGTTCCATTTTAATTTTAATTGCTGTTACATTTCTGATCTGTAATAAGACAGACCTCATTCAAACAGCCAAAACCTTGTATAGACTCTGAGCAGTGTGAATATTCAGGGACATCTGAAGGTCAAGAGCAAGCAAAACTGAGCACAAGGCATTCTTCTTCAGAAGAATGTCAGMTGTATTGACTTGGAACATCATCGTTAAGGCTTTTGTTACCATTGATCTGGTTTTCAATTCAATTTGACTCACATACTTAGTAGGAATTAATTCAGAAGAATATTGATGAATAAATTTGTCTCCTAAAATAAACAAATAGAACACAAAACTATGTGACATTCAGTGAATATTTACTGTGAAAGAAATCAAACTTACAGGTTCAATTGCTGAATAGTTTTATATGTGTATAAATTAATTTGCTTGTGTGTTATTGTCACTGCATCATAATAACATTTCCCAATTTAGGGTGTTGTTCATAATTCAAACAGTTCTCAGAATTCTGTTCAGAACTGCAATAATTGTCCTGCTCACCCAGAAGGATGAGAACGCAGTGATATAAGGAAAAGGAAGCATTATCAAATGGTAACCTTTCAGCCATGCTGTTGTGCTCAGTATGAAAGCAAAACRCTTGGTCTTACTCTAGAAGCAAAACTGTACCTTTGGAAGAGAATGAGAATATATTTCATTGCTAACAGAGAAACTAGTATCCTATTCTGTCTGTGTAATCCAGACTGTATTATCTTGGGGCAATAATGCGAGATAAGTAGTAGCGCCAGTATCCATAAGATTTGCTTACATGGCATTTACTGTTATGGAAAAATATGAATCTATAAATCTTGCCATTGACTGAACTGCTTCAACCTAAGTACTTTAGGATTTCCCTAAAATGGAGTTTAGTAGTAAAAGCGATGCAACAAATCATTCAGTTTTGCCAAGCTGTCATATTTTGTTCTGTGTACTCTGTAGTCACATCTCGAGGGTCCTACTTTTTTTTACATTATGTATTTTTTTAAATGTTATCTCTATTGTCTGAGAGCCCTGAGAAAAGGATGTGAAAAAAAAAAAAGAGAAATAAAATGAATCCTGTCTTGATAAATGCACTTAAAAGAGATATGCAAAATCCACAAATTAGAGCCAGCATGGAAAGGAAACATTTTCCTTAGTCTCATTTTGTCTTCCATAGCTACGAACACATAAGAAAATGGATGTATATGTATAGGTAGCTGCAGTAAATGTATTCRATCTACTATTAAAAAAAATCCCTTTTTATATCCTCTTTTTATATTATTACTACAGAAAGGCAACAGTGTAATGATGTTATTCCAAAGCTACTGGATTTGTCTTTTTGTATTGGATTTGTGTTAAAAGCTTCAGCACTACAGAGCTTGCATTATTTAATGATCTGCTGCACCATTAATTCCTTCTTGTGAGCGCTGAAATTGATTTTTTTTTCTTAGTATGTGTGGTTCATACTATTCCCTCTTTGGACATTATCTAACAATATAAAGTAGCTACAGAAGAGTAAGATACAGCACTAGTATCTTTCAATGCATTACTGCTTAGTAATTTTAAATTAAACGGATATACTAGTTTTCCCTTAAAAAAAAAAAGGGAAATTAAAAAATATCTCTCTTTGCAGTAATTTTGTTTTGTTCAATGCAATTTTTGCRCTGAAATCTCTATCTAGTGTTTTATAAAGGTCTTCCAAAAAGATATTAAGTAGTATAGATTGCATGCAGTCTCCTTCCTTGACTTTTTTTTTAAAATAAAAGTCAGTTTACACTTTATTATGTAAACATTATTTGAATCAATTATTTGAATCAATTCAATTATTTGAATTGAAATATGAGTAATCATAGTTCTTGYACTGTATTTGAAAGATTACAGCAAAATATTTGTATATATCAGTTAGTTAAAACTCTTCCTTATTTCCAGAAATCAAATAATAATAATGATTCATGTTACGAGCTTTTCTGAAATCCTGGTTGCAATTGGTAAATGAGTTCTTGGTATTACTGTAACTTTTTTGATTCATATTTTTCCATTATATATTTCAATATAGGTTAATGACAATACATCATAACCATATATTTGTGTATTTTTTTTGAATTCTCTATTTTACAAAGTACTGATATCGCTACTGAGTATGCACTAATGGCATTTTTTGATACCACCCAATGACAAGGAAAATGATGTCACAAGATACAGGAGCATTCTTCATGGAGTCTTTTTATATCTTATTAACTCTGACCCTTCAGATAACTCTTTTTTTCCCAGTGTTCCTTAGCATTCTTCATGAATATGCATGTTATACCTTCAGAAATCTGCACTTCTTAAGGTACTTTTAGTGTAAAGAGCTTTTCTCCATCACAATTGTTGTTTCAGCTGTATCTGCATTCGTAAATTAAATGAGTCCAGGACTGTTCTCTGAGGCTGAGGCTGATATAGAATGACCTGCCTTAGTGATCATTCAAAACAGGATAAAAAGTTCAAGCACAGTACATCCATCTAGAAAGTCATATACATTGGTATGTCTAGGAATATGGAGGGGTGATGACTACTTGGTTTGGGCTGAAACCACACCAGGGTCATTCCAAAAATCTAACAGAACAAACAAAGAGCTTCCAGTGTCCAAGAACATTATTTTGCAGTGTTTGTTAGTATACAAAAAACAAATGTGTCATGATAGTTTGAAAAATTTAACTTTTTGGAGACCAAGCAATAAATGATGTGGTTGTAAGACATATGTAAAATCTGATGTTTGAAATACTTAGTTTTTCATAATTACTATTATAAAGGCCAGAAAGTAAGTTATTATTTGTTAACTTTATGCACGCACAAGTAGAAATTGTTTCCAGTTGAGCTATTTTGGTTAGTGAATCAACAAATCAGCAACTCTATCATTAGAGCATGGCAAAAAATATATTCTTTCTGTCTTATAAATGAATTTGTCAAATTTAAAAGCATTCAATATAGTTTTGAAGACTCCACTATAATGCAGGTTAGCATAAATAGTATGAAGTGARTAAGTAGTTGACTGGCCCTGAAGGAGATCATCAGTTCATTTCAAATTCTACTGTAGATATTAATGAAGTTTGGGAAGCTACATTTTTCAACTTGAGACTGATAAAAAATGCAGTCTAACCTACTAGGAGGTAGCAACAATTTCTTTTTTTTTATCATTGCTGTTTATCATCTCTTTAACAATTTATCTATATCTATATCTATATCTACATATATATGTACCTGTGTCTGAAATAAATAGCTCAAAATATATCGCTGAACTGTGCGTTCATGTATGATTCAATATCATTCAAGTGATTSAGTATAATTACTGAACATCTGCTATAGGTTCTGAACTAAGTGTAACCTCTATATCTAAGTATATGGCACTTGGTTGTACMTGGCAAAATATTAGTGAAAACTTGTAAGATGAGTACTATCCTTTTTAGCTGCTATTTAATCTTTCATGAATGCTTTTRAATAGACAACTAGTGTCAAGGAAAATAATTTCAAATATTACTGGTGCATCCAAATATCATACAATAATAGATATATGTAAACATCCAAATATTATAGATTTAGTTTCCAGCAAAGGTTTTGGGAGTTCAGATGAGTTTCATGAGTTTCTGATCATTTTGTGCAAAGTAGCTGGTCTAGATCAAAAAAATATATCCTATTTCAATTTAAAACCCAATTTAAACACAATTTAAAGTGTTGCTTCATCTCACTTGTATGTCCTTAGTATATCGGAAAGATGGATTCACTTCTAGCAAAGATTTCAATTATCTCAATTTTGTCTTTTTTTTCTTACTTWAAAAAAAAACTTATGCAATAGTGTGCCTTTATTAAATTCTGTTGTTTTAATACATAGATGTCTATTATGTTTACATGTAATGTGTGAATTTATCTAGTGAGTTTTTATGCATATATATTCACTTCTTCTGCTTAGCAAATACTTACAGATGAAGACATTCATAGAAATCAAGCCTGTATTTGAAACAGAGAAATATGTTTAATGTATCAACTAACTGAACCAAGAAAACATTTTGGTATCAGATGTAAGAAATATATATTAATATCTACAGTGCATGTGTAACACATATAGTGAGTATATTATTATGCTAACACATATATGTACCTACATGTATATATATGTATATATACATATAGACACACAGATAGATAGACAATAATATATATATCCCTACTGTGCTATCCTAGTTTCTGGAGTCTATGTTCAACTAGTATATAAAGTCAGATTGCCTACCATATTATTTCTTCATATTGTTCCCATGGTCTTGCCTACTCTCATCTTTTACTGATGTGACTTGATTCTCAAAGCATTCTTCATTTCCAGTCAGAAATACGTATATCGAATAGATTTCATTGTAATTAATGTTCTGAACCATGACTGGTGGTTCTTTGGTCTAAAGTAGCTGTTATTTGTCATACCGACAGGTACACCTACTGCGAAATGCTGGCGATGAAGTTACCATCACTGTTCAGTACCTCAGGGAAGCTCCATCATTTTTAAAGCTCCCATTAGGTAAGGCAAATTAAAGGATAAGAATAATTTGTTTTCCTCTTTGCAGTATTTCTCATAAAAAGAAGACACTGAGAGAAATAGGAATTCAATTCTTGAGTGTTTTTCCACAAGAAACAGAAAATTATTTATGTACTTTATTGCTTAACTTTTAAAAATCTAATGTCTGCTGCATGATTGCTTCCGTATACTTTGTTCAAAATGAACTTGAAAAATCATTAAAATGAAGTGCAATCATAGATGCTTTCTGAAAGTTTCTCACATTAGTTTGGATTGGATAAAATAAGGAAGTATTTATAAACATTTGAATCCTACATTCACAGTGAAAGTCAGGGATTTTTACTCAGAGTCATCATAAAATGCAGCAGTACACTTTCRCATAAAACAAATGCATGACATTATTTATATTTAATATTCACAATATATGTAATAGGTAATAAACTATATTGGAATTTTGATTGTTTTGTCAAGAAGAATAATGACGTGCCACGTGTAATGAATCCATAGGATTAAGAGAATTTAGCAAAACAGATTTAAGATGTGTCTGTTTTGGGTTTTTTGTGTAAATAATATTCAACTGTGTACTTGTTTTTTATTGATTTGAACAGATCAAGATTTGCTGGTTAGAAAATGAGTGTCTGTTATTTCATCTAGATTCTTATTCTTTGCTCATTCTTAAGCAAAGTTGCCAGGCCTTTTCTAAGGTGAACTATACTTTTAATCTTAAAACCCTTATTTCTCTGCTTATAGTTTATCATTTCYGTTTAAAAATTGAATATAGATTAATGAAATTCAAAGAAATCTTACCTTAAGAGATTGTTGTCTCTTGGACAGGAATCAAAGTTTTTAGTGAATTAGTTGTTAAGATTCTTTGCTGTGGATGGAACTGAGTCCGTTACACATTTGAAAGCTTAGCAGAGCATTAAGGGCTGTGTAGGGCCCTTTTAGATAAGGATCACTGCTGCTGAAAAGATTTCCTGAGAACATTTTATTGTCGATCAAGAATTTTTTCTTTTTGATAGTTAGACAAAATAACCGGAGTATTCTGAAGTTGCAAGGCTTGTAGTGTAATTAAAATTCATTATAAGCTTTTCCTTCGATTTTATTTTGTGTTTTGTCCAGTGTTTTGACTGGAATGATATTATTTCAGATTTGTCTATKGGAGATTTTCTCTGACATAATTAGTAAGTCAGATAATTTTTTTGCTTAGATGTTTATTGTAATTCATTGACTGAAATAAACAGCCATCTGTGGAAGGGGCTCTGGTGACCTTCTAGGTCTAGGAAGTTTATGATTTTTAAACTTAAAACCAGAATCCACGTCAYATTAAAATAAAAATCAGAGTATCTAATTTTTTAAATTAAAAAAATCAGAGTGCCTCAGTCAGAAATAATAGAAATGAAAAAGGGTCATAAATAGCTCCCGTACCTGAACAATTGCAAAAGAATTCTTGCTTTCAGATTTAGTTTCATCTAACTGAGTGCTCTCTCAACTTATCATTAACACTGCAAGTCCCCTGTGACACTTTCGCTCACCTCTGACTTCTGACTCTGCTTCCTGGAAGCCTCAAGAGTGTTCCAGTCTCTTTTCATGAACKGCAAACTGCTGTATTGTTGCTACATCTCTTCCTGTGACTCTTTCTCACCTTGAAGACTAAGTTGCATTCTCTCATTGTACTCAACTGTTGTTCAAGTAAAGGTCAATCTTCTTCTCAACCAGAAAATCCTTCTGAAAGGATTCTGAAAAAGGATTCCGATAGGATTCTAAAAGWAAAAAAAAAAAAAAAAAAACAGCCCAMCTGKTAAATTAAACATGTACAGCCCATCATAGTCTGCATTCACATTTCTCATAGGTTGATTGTCTAATTACGATTTGGGGGTGGTAAGATGAGAGCTAAGTAAGAAAAAGATGGTGAAAACCTCATAGTGTATGAAATGCATAGTATCTGCCATGAATTTCCATCGGGATGTTGTATAGATAGTGTTTCTTGAACTACTGTTTCAGAGTTTGCCTGGTACTAAACTCATTGGGCTTGAAGTCTCATCTACTTGAGCATAGACTATGGGAGCAGATRGTAAAAGTTTTACTTCACATGAGTACATTGTGTGTTGTATATTTACTGTCCTTTTATCTGACTCTGCTTGGAGAGAGGAGAGAACAGCACCTTCCATGAAAGCATTGGAGCAAACACAAGGGCAGTTTCTAAAGTGCTAACTGTGTGAGAGAGCAGTCCATGAGTATGTGAGGCACAATGAACAGGGAGCAAGAGAAAAGACTTGTGAACTCAACTGCAAGTTTGAGAGGGGACAGAGACTGAGAGAGGCTATGTAGAGTTTGTTGTGACTTAGGAAATCACAGAAAACTGTTCAATTGGAAAGCACACTATAAGAAAAGGAGAAGGAAAAATTGTTATTTAGCCATTCTAAGTTTTTCCATGCCACAGATGTCAATTTTCTCTGTTTAAAACAATAATTCTAATAATAAATTCTAATGCAATGTAAAATGTATTTTAGTAAAACCTGGATTTAGAAATTTAGAAATCTCTAAAATTCATGTATTTCATAGGTTAAATTAATAGTAGAGAAAGGATAGTTCCATTTTAAGAATCTTACTCATGTATTTGTCATAATTACAGGAGATAATGGAGTCCCCAAATAGCATTGAGGGAATCTGCAATGGACAACTGAATGTCAACTATTTTATTTAAATGTTTTTATCAAGAATGTAGAAATTATTTCCAGCAAGTTATGGTCATCTACCAATCCTAATACAAATTTTTATGTTCATATACATGAAACTCTGMATAAAATATTTTAGTTACTACTATTTGTGCATGGGTTAGACATRTATAATGAAACTATATCTAAACTACCTAAATATCCAAATGTTTTTAAAATAAATATTAAAACAAGATTAATTAAATTAACAGCCATCAGCCAGTTTCCATGGCTATCACAGATATACAGCCATTACAAATGCCTCACTTAAAGATATACAGAAATTATGTCAAATTAAAACATGCTGGAACTTCAGAATCAGGGTATTATTGTGAAATTTCAGCACTGAAGTGASAGAGATTTGTTATGGAGAAAATGAACTTTTGTTGAACTACTGTTTTGCTAAATCCTTCAGATATGTGGAATGAATATGTATGAAAATATATGTCCAAGAATGACTTTATGACTTCTGTGATGTTAAACTTGAAAAACCTATTAATGTGAAAGGTTTAACATACAATTTCAGGTGACTTCTTCAGATAGAAAAAGATGAGTTTTCAGTGGTGAAGAATACAATGCTGTGAAATTGTTTTTATGTACTWTTTTGATAATATTAAGTCCTGTCTGATGGTAATTGTRTGAAGTATGTTATTGGATCTATATATTAAGATTGTACATTTTWAAAAAAATGTATAATGACGTGACTTTGTACTGCTTCTATTGCAAAAATAGGTTATTAAATAGAGATGCATTAAGCTAACCTAGAGTCAACTTAACCATTAAGGCAGTATAATGATGTATAACTGTTAAAGAGTTATCTTAGAGATATTTTTTGAGACTATCATAGTGCAACATGGACATTGCAAAGTGACTTCTTGCTTTTAATCTCACTGTTTTAAAATGTACCTCATACTTTAACATAATGGGCACTTGTAACAAAAATATATGCATTATTAAAGGGTATATATCTGTACAGTTAGTGCTAGCCTAAGAGATTCTTACTAGCTTTTTCTATAAATACAGACCATGGTTATGCTGTAAGATGAGTCACTCAATAGTGAATAAGAAATGTATTCATAAAATTAATGGGATTTGTGTAACTAAATTACTTACTTGGTTTTAAATATATCATTCTCAGTGCAAAAAGGCTTAATCCTGCTAACAGTTAAGCATATTAAGTTCAGCATATCCCTTGAGCACAGTCTTTATATAATGATATCAGTCCGGCAGCTTTTATCTTTCTAGACGTATAAAGTAGCGCGTATAGCAGACACATTTTATTGGCTGTCATTCTAAAATGTAAGCAATGTTTCTCTTTTGGTGGTTTATATTGAAAGTTCTCATTGTACCTTCCTTTTTTAGTTCAAATATAATATATTAACATAATATGGTAACAATATATAATATAATGTAATGTATTAACATAAACGGTTTTCTTTGATCTGATTTCAGGTTCCCCTGGACCATCTAGTGATCACAGCAGTGGAGCTTCATCACCTCTCTTTGACAGTGGCTTACATTTAAATGGAAACTCAACTAACACGGTAATCAAGTTAGTAATAAAAACATGATATAAACTATGTAAAATCACTTTTCATTCTGATATTCAGAATGTTAATGTAAGGTTTTTATTTATTTTTTATTTATAAATACATATGCTATAAGATTCTGGATTTACAACATCCTTGAATTTCTAAATTCGTATTCTGAGAAGCTTTTAAGAGTGACCACAGTAGGACTAGGTCACTGTATTAGGGAATATGAGTTCATGTTGGCTTTTGACAAATTTTATTCACTTTATTAAAGCTAAAAATACTGACTTACCCAYGGAATTCTGAAAGGAATTTAAAGATTGAATTCCTGAAGTAAGTGTTCATGRTAGTAAAGAAAGTGAAAAAAAATGGGAAGAAATGAAATGAGGAAGGGCAATTACGRGGAATAATAATCAGTCCTTTAATCTGTAAGATGACTAGTTCTTTTATCCTTCAGCAAATAGCTATGATTGAAGCATACATAACAACATTAAAAGCATAATATAAAATGAGGGTTTCTCTTTTTCCTTTCTGAAGGAAAAAGACTAGTTGGCAAAGCCAAAGAAGATGGGTTGTCTTGGTGGTCATGTTGCTATCTTTTAAAAATAAGATTGAAACTGGAAATAGCAGTTGTACAAGGAAGGACCATCTTGGTGACAATTTCTTTAGATCCAAGCTAATTGCAAATCTAATTTTTTCACTTGGATATTATATTTTACATAAAGTATACCCAATGTAGAGCAAGCTGTGATTATTTTACTTTTTCTATTTGACTCATCAAAAGATACCARTATCCCTCTGCTTCCCACAGCACTTTTCTGAGCAGTGGCTCTCTAAACTAATCCTTAAAGCTATTTTTCATCTGACTGAAAATCAGAGCTTCATCTATGCTGTGATATCTGTAACATAGTGCCCATGATCCAAAGTGAGTCTAGATATGAAAAGTTTCATATTTATTTATTTGCAAGTAATTATTTTGTTTAGATTATATTGTTTCATTACCAAAAACTCCAGTCGRTCATCAGGGTCCATCATTCTGCTGTGCTGGAGGGATGCGTGTGTACCATATCATATCATATGCATGTGAGCATATGATATAAGTAGAGGACTATGGTCAGATGATTGCATGTGATTGCATTAGCATTTTTTAGTAAATTAATGCCTTTTAAGTGCTAACATGAGTGTTCCATAATAACTTACAAAAACTATTATAACTGCACTTTGGGAATTGCACATTTTGAACTCTGCACATTATGAAAGAAAAGTAAGTGGCTGGAGACATTTAGATTTGTAAGAGGTTAGTTTAGAATTGTCGTTTCCAAGGCAGCATGCAAAAGACTGTGAGTAAGCTTGAAATATAGGCAGAAAAACAGAAAGAAAAAAAAAGAGAGAAAATGCCTAGGAAATTACTTGGTTTTTATATAGCACTTTCTTTTTCTAAAATTTGACATAAGCTCACATGAGGACACCCTATGGCTTAGGAGTGAAATGAAAGAGAAAAATCTACATTTTATCTAGCCTAGAAAAAATGTTATGATATCCCTTCATATGAAACAATATGACAAATTACCAAGTTTTTCCTGTGAAATAAAAAAGAAGCACTGTAAATATCCTAAGGAAAAAAAAAATGTATTTTGAGACACGGAAAGTATATAGTCAATTTTTTATCAAAAAGTAAGCTGTGAGTGATCAGAACTTCAAAAGAGGTTATGAATGGGTTTTAACTACTAGCTAGTCGGTGCTTCTGTTTTTTTTTTTTTTTTAAATTATATGCTTTTGTTTTTAGGGGAAGGGAAGAGCTGGACTACCATTTCCTCTGACATTTGGTCTCGGTTTACTTAAAGTTGAGAGTTTTTAAACTGCTTTAATTTTACCTTAGTAGTAGAGATGTAATTCACTTGAATAATCTCTTACATCTGTGAGATTTTATTGCAGTCATATCTAACTTCTTAACCACAGTCAGATCAGTGCTATATTAGGCAGTGCACATATATTAACGGGTGGAAAAGCTATTGCAAAGCACGCAGTGCAAAGAAAGGGTTAGAAATGAGAGAAAGGGAATGACTGTTATGCCAGTTTTACAAGCATAACATAACATAAGATGTTCATAACATAAAGTTCAGCATGTCTCTTCTGAAAAACAGTGTAAAAGAGATACTTCAGMTAAATGCCAGGCCATAACACATGACACAGTAGAATATGTTGTGGGGATACTGACTTATATCATATAGAAAGTAGTCTAGTCACGTTAACATACAGCTATGTCACGTTAACATACAGCCTAACACACCATTTTCAGTTCTGGTGCTAGTCCTATGTCACACATACTTTTATGATCATAACTGTGCAGAATCTCTTATATGTACTATGTGCTATCATCTCCAGGATTTATATACAACCTTCCTACACTCTTTGAGCAATATGCAATACAGTCAGAGTTTTCAGTATTGCATGCACCAAAACAGTACAGCCTTTCAGTAGTGACTTCCTAAAAATCTATGCACTACCTACTTTCTTGAGCATAAGGAAATGTGTTGAAATGCCCTCTTTTTATCTAATCATTTTGTGCTTTGGCACTGTAACAAAATGCTATAGGAGATGGAAGTGACAGATACATTCATTTGTATATGATTCACAGTCTACTGAGTACTATGTGAGGGAAACAAAAAACATTCATGCGTCAATGCTAGAGGAAGAGCTGGTCTCAAGGGAAGGKCTTACAGGTAATGTACCACAATGATTCACACTACAAAACAATGGGGATCATACAATATGGTTATTTTTGCTGTCCAGATGCCTTGGGTTTCTGGCTGACTAAGAAAAAGCAAAAGCCTGAAATAAATTTTAATAAAACCATGTATTGCAATACAATAAAAATACAATGAAATTATTATTATTCAACAAGGTAGTTGCTGGACAAATGGCGAGAATGTTCATTTGTTTGAAAATCCAGCTTCCCTGAGATAAGGTAAATGGTTTCAAAGTGGTACTCTGATAAGTGAGCTGAGATCAAAGTAGACCATGATTTTCCATGTGTTCATGTAATTTAAGAATTCTAATTATATTATGAAAAAGTATGTGGTGAAGTTAGGTTGGTTAGGTGAAATTAAAGAAACATTTAGGATTTTCTATATTTCTTTTAAATCTTTATTTCCTTAGTTGCTTTATTTCATCTATTAAATCAAAATGTTTCGCATGAAGAAATGCATTGTCTACTTCATTACTTGCTAAGCTTATAAAGAAGAAAAAATGCAGATTTCCAATAATTAGTGGGACCTATAGGATGTAAATGTTTAATATGCTAAACAAGACACTGGATTCAGAGTAAAAATTATAGCTCAGTCAAGTGCATAAAAGGCAAAAAAGGGAAAAGGCTCCAAGAAAGGGGATGGACACTCCAATACAGAGTTATGCTGGTGAATACTTTTAGTAAGTCATTTGCTATTGAACTGTGATGCAGTTACTGCACTATATCTGAAAGCTTCAATGATTTTATTTTTGATTGGTTATATGACATCTTCCAATTTGATATAAACACATTATTTATCATTCTGAAGTTTTATTTTATTCTGTATTTTTGCTATCCTGGAGCTCATTTTAAAAAGTTTCAAGATTTCAGATCAATACTTTTTATATTAGAATCATTTAGCAAGTGATACCAGTAGACTTACACATTCCTTGATCTGGAAATTCATGATATTTTTACTGAGAATGGAAGTATTATACATACAGGTCTTGAAGCTTTAAATTGACATTTAATTTATACTGCGTCATATAGTAATGCATGTGCATAAAATGTAACAAATATAAAGAGTGCTTTATAGTACTTTAAGAGTACTGTCACTCTTAAGGTGTCAGTGCTGGTTACTGTCATGAAACTATCATCATTATCTGCTGAACAGAAGATAAAAAAAAAAATGCTATAGATGAGCTAGGTGCACTTAAATATTTTGGACCGCTACTGGCCTGAGGACCAATATGAAATGAGATAAATACACTACAAATAAGTACATTTCTCTTACTTCATGAATAAATTTGAAATGGCTGTCTCTTCTGCACACTTGGGAAAATAATCTGAATTTTCTCTTCAATTTTCTCTTGCTCCTTTCAGAAGGTGACATAGAAAAATAGGCTAGAAAAAGGCAATTTATTAATCCCTTCTTATGCTTTCACTATAGAATTGTATGTGAAATTATTTTGATATTGAGTAATAAAGTTGGTTAGTTCAGATCTAGATGTTCAAAAGCACTGCCTGTCTTTAATTCTCATTCAGATTAGAGTTGACTGGCATTTTCACTGTGATATTATCTGTTAATACTTTCACCAGGCAAAGTTCTTCAGACATTGAAACTTGTTAGTCATTTCTTCTGCACAAAAGTTAAACACTGTTAAATTTCCCACTAAAGTTTTAATTGAATATGGTTTTGTTCTTTAACATAGAGTCCTAGCAACGTGAAAAGAAATGTACAATAAGACTAGGAAGTCTTCTTAGCTTATAAATAAGAAAACACTGAGCACTATTTATTATTTTACAATATCTAATGCTAGAAAAAAAACAGTTAAAGCTCAGTTAAAACATTTTATTTCATCAGATGTTCACATTCTATCCAGAAGGTAAGTTTAAACATTTTTAGTAAGACTAGCCTTATTCTGTTTCCACTGGAAAAAAAAAAACACACCAAGAAAGCCCATATAAAAGCGTCTGACTTTGGGTGGTCTTTTTAAGACTTCTGGATGTACACATAACACAGAAGTGCAGCATGGAACTATGGAACTAGTATGCCAATGAGAATATAACTTAAGTTGCATTCTGTATTGATTCTGGTTTTATTTATTATTTTTACATATTTTCTCCATGAACAGCTCTTTCTTATTGTGAACAAGTTGTTTTCGTATTTTTTACTTTCTCATTTTACTTCTCATCAATAGCACAGAGGAAATGACTTAAATAAAACTAAGTTTATTATTTACCATATTATCCTTTCTTATATACTTGGCATTTTTCTTTACCC